GCAGCACAGAGGCAGAGAGGGATCTTGGAGTCGTGATTGACTCCAGGATGAATATGAGTCGCCAATGCGATGAAGCAATAGGCAGAGCCAACCGCACCCTGTCATGCATCAACAGGGGCACCACTAACAGGTCCAGAGAGGTCTTGCTCCCTCTGTATGCGGCACTGGTCAGGCCACAGCTGGAGTCCTGTGTCCAGTTCTGGGTGCCGCACTTCAAGAGGGATGTGGAGAACCTGGAGAGGGTCCAGAGGAGGGCCACTCGTATGGTTGGGGGCCTCCGTGGCCAGCCCTATGAGAAGAGGCTGAGGGACCTGAATCTCTTTAGTCTCCGCAAGAGGAGATTGAGGGGGGATCTTGTGGCTGCCTACAACCTTATCAGGGGCCAGCAGCAGGGACTCCGGAAAAATCTGTTCACCAGGGCCCCCCTTGGAGTCACCAGGAACAATGGCCACAAGCTGCGGGAGAATAGGTTTAGGTTAGATATTAGGAAGAACTACTTCACTGTAAGGGTGGCCAGAGCCTGGAATAGGCTGCCCAGAGAGGTGGTGGTCTCACCTTCCCTGGAGATCTTCAAGAGGAGACTGGATAGGCACCTGGCTGGGGTCTTATGACCCGTGCCACCCCCAGTGCTCCTTCCCGCCCATGGCAGGGGGTCGGACTAGATGATCTGTCTAGGTCCCTTCCGACTCATTGATTCTATGATTCTAACATCAATCCAACCCTAGAAGTAGTGATAAATGTTTCATGTGGTTTTATCATAGTTCTTTAAGATACTAATTTATCTATATTCTGTTTATTGGCCGAACACATTACCAACATATTCTTTTCTAAGTAACTGCATTAAAAGTAAGCTTAGTTTAATATTAGTGTTCAGTGTGTTTAGGAGTTTTCTATAGGTATCAAACTAAATATTCCATATAGAAAAGACCCATTTGCAAATGAAGAAGCAGAAATAAATCTGCAAAATTTGAACTTCTGAGTGGTTAATGAGAGATGTTACTAATATTCTATAATAATTCAATTTATTTTTGTGAATCTTCTCCATCTTTTGTATTTCTAGAGTGTAAAATCAAGGGAAAAGATGTGGTGAGTGAAGGGATGACCATGCTAGAGGTTGGTCCACATATTTCCAGAAGTAACAGAGATCTGAGAAAGTCAGAAAAAACTGAAACAAAGAAGTTAAATTCATTGTTTTCAAAAAGATATACTCATTGTGTGCATCTTCTACAGTACTCAACTCTCCCCAATTGCCCACAGCCAGATACGTTTCCTGCAGCTCATAATACTTTCAAAAACAAATGCTAAGAATCAACATGAATGCAGCAAAAAAATCCATGTTATTTGGATTCTCCCTTCTACTCAAATATGTGGGATTACTTGTTTGATAGTGTTTAAATAATATTCAAGTCACTAATGATTGATTTGACTAGACAGTAGGTGTATGCTTGTAAGCTGATGACTTCCATTTAATGTGTGTTTTAGGGTAATCAAATAAATGATTAAAATAGATACAGTCAATGCAGTAGTGGTTCATTTCATTGAGTAAATATATAGTAGTACATGTTTGTTTATGGATAACTGCAGTAGATGAAGGAAGCTGTATAACGTGATGACATATAGTTTGGCATATCACGAAGAAAATAGTTTGAAAACTCAGTGCAAAGCTTGATCATAACCTGTTTATGCCCTTATCCAGTTTATCCCATCAAAGGATATCAAATGGGAACCACTAGCACTTAGGCAGACTCCAGTCCCAGTCTTTAATTCAATTGCTACAGACCAGTCAGAGAGCCATTCCTAATACCGGGTAATTTGCCACCCTTAAAGGCTTGAATGTTTTCTGGTCAGATATGTGGTAAAACTCCACTATATTTTTCTCACACAGCAGCTCTATTCTGTTCCCTTTTGGGACATTCTTCACTTCCATATAAATGATTGATTTGTTATTTGTAAAAGCACTTATGTGCAGCTAAACGGGCATACTCTAAGAGCCATATGCATTTCTTTTAGACAACAGAAAAATAAAGACCCTAGGTTGCCAAGTCCCTGCCTAGCACCTACCATCCTCCCCAACCATAACACAAGCCTAGAGAGCAAATGCATGAACTTAAAGCAGTGAAAGTCACCTCTTTGCTTGAGATGAGGAGGCCTGCCTCTTGTTTCTTACTTCAGAAATGCAGATAAACCTCAGCTATAGAAGAAAAATTAAATACATTTCATATTAACATCCCACTCTGTTTTAGCTGTTTAGCATCTGAGCTTGTAAGCATGGAAAAGAAACAATAGGTTAGGAAACAATGCATTAAGATTTTCCACTTCAAGGTTGTATTTGGCAATATTTGGACTTGGCCTTCAGCTGATGTAAACTGAGGTAGACGGATAGCAGGGGAATGATAGTGGAGACTAATTCATGCTGCCCCTGTGTTTGTACAGAAGGTGGTAAAAGGCACCTGTACAGGGGGAAACAATATGCCCTCTATTACTTGGGCACGTTGGGGCTGATTTAGATAACAACTGCTGTTTAAATATCAGTGTACAGCCCAGAAACAGACTTTCCTTTCAGAATCAAACAGTCATATTTGGAGGCCACAATTCAGAAGCCTCTGCCCAGTCTAAAATTTCCCCATGTGCAGAAGGGCAGCAAAAAGCCCCTCTGTGCCATTTCAGTCCTGCTCTGATTAAATGCTTTCCTGCTCTGCTAGCTGCATGTTTTCAGATCAGGTCTATGGCTCTATAATGTCTTGACTACCACTATCTGAGAGTGAGTGTGCAGGTTGCACTAGGACTAACTGGTTTGTCATCCTCTAGTAAAACACAAACATGGAATGAACCAAAGGTTCTCTAGGTGCTGCACTTGGGTAGTAGTAACCAGCAGCACACTTGTAAGATGGGAAACTCCCTTCTTGAGAGCACAGAGGCAGAAAGGGATCTTGGAGTCATTATTGACTCCAAGATGAACATGGGCCGACAATGCGAGGTCACGGTTGGCAGGGCTAACCGGACCTTGTCGTGCATCCACAGGTGCATCTCAAGTAGGGCCAAGGAGGTGATCCTCCCCCTCTACACGACGCTGGTCAGGCCACAGCTGGAGTACTGTGTCCAGTTCTGTGCGCCCCACTTCAGGAGGGATGTGG